ATTTGCCTATGTTGAACCATCCTTGCATCCCAGGGATAAATCCCACTTGGTCATGATGAATTATCTTTCTAGTGTATTGTTCAAATCAGTTTGCTAATATTTTGTTGAGGATTTTTGCTTCAATAATCATCAGGGATATTGGCCTGTAGTTTTTGTGTTCTTTTTGTTGTTGTCATTTGATGTGTCTTTGTCTGGTTTTGGTATCAGGGTAATACTGGCCTTATAGAATGAGTTTGCAAGTAGTGCCTGTTCCTCTATTTTCATTTGTTTTAAGACATTTTTTTATTTCTTTTTTTTTATTTCTTCATTGACCCACTGGTCATTAAGGAGCATATTGTTTAATTTTCATGTATTTGAATAGTTTCCAAAATTCCTCAATTTCTAGTTTTATTCCATTATGGTCAGAGAAGATGCTTGATATCATTGTAAGTTTTTTGAATGTTTTAAGACTAGTTTTATGAACATATGGTTTATCCTTGAGAATAATCCATTTGTTGAGGAAAAAAATGTGTATTCTGCAGCTATTGGATGGAACATTCTCTAAATATCTATTAGATATTTGGTCTGTAGTGCAGATAAAGCCTGATGTTTCCTTGTTGATTTTCTATCTGGAAGATCTGTCAAACACTGAAAAGTGGGGTGTTGAAATCTCCAGCTATTATTGTATTGGAGCCTATCTGTTTCTTTAGCTCTATTAATATTCACTTTATATATCTGGGTACTCCAGTGTTCAGTGCACATATGTTTAAAATTGTTATATGCTAAAGAGTGGTTACTTTAAAGGACTGGCATTGCAAGTCATTCTTGTTGTTTTCCTTTGTACTTAAGCGCTTCCATTTTCCAAGATTTGTGTTATTTTGCATTAAGCACATGTTAGCTTTGCAGTCTGGGGAGAGAAAATCTTGTAATTTTAAAAGAAAAAGGGCATGGACAATAGTATTAAATACTGCAGAGAGGCCAAAGTATAGTAGATGGAAAAAGTCAGCAGTGACGCCAGTGAGACAGTTATACTGGAACGGACATGCTTGAAGAGAACCAGCTGTGGGGTGAGTGGAAAGTAGGTAAGGAAATAAAGGTATCTCACTTTTTACAGAAGTATAACCAAAAAGAGAAGTTGAAAAATAGAAAGGTGAGGAGAGGGGAGTGAAAAATCAGCCGAAATGATTTTAAAGGTGAGAGAACCTGAGCAAGTTTGATGCTGATAGGGAAGAAGCCAGGAAAGAGAGAGGCAACGATATGAGAGGTGTACAATTGAGGGTTTGAGGTGCCTGTGAGGACATGGAATTGGGTCCAGAGAACAATGTGATTGAGTTGGCCTAGGAAGAAACAAAGGCACTCACCGTGGTGCCTCTTTCTCTAAACCAAGAGGCATAGTGAGTGCAGACAGCAATGTATCTCAAGGTGATGAAATCTGTGCCTGGTCATCTCACTTTTGTCAATAGGAAGTGGTCATCTGCTGAAAGGAAGGATCTAGGGCTGGTGAGGAGGGGATTGAGAAGGTGAAAAGAAGGGAAAATTATGGCAGCGATCCTGAGCCAGACCTAAAGTGACAGCCTGCTATGGGGTGCTGCTGAGAAACTTCTCTTCCCTTTACCCAATTTCAAAGTAAGAGTTCAGGACTACTGTTTGCAGGTAGTTTAGCATCACTTACTTGATCCAGGTAAGGGGACTGGTTTCCAAGCTGTTTCTCCACAACACTTAGGTGGCAGATGGATCCCCGACTGGGGGATAGAGGAGGATCCAAAAAGTCCCATGAGATTAGCTATGGCTTCCCAAAGCTGGCAGGATTTCCACACCTGACACCTGAACTTTGGGGGCCCCAGTACCAGAGTTAGATTCATCTGTGCTATTTCCTGTGTTAGGTAATGACCTCTATATATTTCCTTACCATAGGAACTTTAAAAAACTGTGCATTCTGTAGCCATGTCTTTTGGCTTCTCTCCCTCAGTCTCATCTCCTACGGTTGACATAAGCAGGAGCAAAACTCTCCAAAGTGTAAACCAGAGGACATGTCCTGCTACATCTGGTGCCGTTTTCTCCCAGCACTGCCTCCCATCCTTTCCAGACACACCAGGATACACTGATAGGGGACTACTATGCCTTAACAGGCACTGGGATTTTAGTTGCCTTGTTTCAAGGAGTGGATCTCAACCAGGAGCCATTCCTTACCCCACCCCCACCCTAGGGACATTTAGCAATGGCTGGAAACATTTTTGGTTGTCATAAATGGGGGCAGGGAGAGACATCCAGTGGGCAGAGGCCAAGATTGCTTCTAAATATCCTACAATACACGGAATAGCCCCCACAATGAATTATGCAGTCCCAAATGCCAATCATTCCAAAAGTGAGAGATCTTGCTTTGGAGTTCCTCAGCTGACAGGACTCTTTGAAGTTTTGCTATAATCCATTTAAAATTTGAAACGTATGCCAGAGACAAATTAAAGAAAATACTTGAGGAATTGTCATTTGTAAATTTCCACCAGATGGTGCTAAATGACAAGTGAAAATCCAACCTACTCTAGCCTCCTTTTCAGAATTCGGTTTCTCTCCCTGGTTAGCCCCCTGGAGTAACAATGCCCATTCTTTTCAAATAAGATTGTTGCTCCTTAGGTACTCAGTGTTCGGTACCACCAGTATTTTTATGCAAGTGAGTTAAACGGAGTAATGACTAAAACTCAGACTTAAAGATGAAAAGAATAGGACCACCTCCCTCAATCAGCTACAGAATTTCCATTCCTTGTAGCAACAAGGGTAGGGGAGAATCAGCTAGCTTTTTTTATTCTTTAGCCAATTTTTAGCTGGGCACTTGGTCATCTGAAAAAGACAATTCCAAGACTCCTTTACCCTTAGGAGGGCTACGTAATTAAGTTCAGGCCATTAGTGAGATGTGATCAGAAGTGCTGTGGGCTGCTTCTGAGTAGTACTCTTAAAAGCAGTGGTTCTCAACTAGGGGTGACTTTGCCCCCCCCCCCCCACCGGAGACATTTGGCAATGTCTGACATTCTTGGCTGTCACAACTGGGAGACGGTACTGGCATCTTGTGGGTAGACACCAGAGGTGCTACTAAAACTACAAAGCACAGGACCACCTCCAAAACACAGAATTATTCAACCCCAAATGTGAATAGTGCCAAAGTGGAGAAACCCTTAGAGGGAAAGGGCATGCCCCTGGCTTTCTCTTTCCCACTGGCTGAAAGGTGCAGTGGTGCACCATCTTGAACCATGTGGGCCAAGGCAAGAAACCAGGGAGGCTGGAGCTATGAGACAAGTGGAGCTGTCATACTCTGGACTCCTTACACCCAGACTGCCACAAGATTGAAATACACTTCTCAACAGTTTGAGCCACTCCTCTTCCACATCTCTGTGACAGCAGCCAAATAATATTCTATCTAATGCCATAGTATACCATATAGATATTGTTTTTTTATTCATAGAACCAGGAATTGCTTTATCTGAACTATAGCCACTCTAGGCCTGCATCCTTCTACCTTTCCCAAGAATGCCCTAAGCTCTTTCTCCCTATCTTACGCCTCTCCATCTTTCTCTCCTTCCTCTCTAGATGCTTCTATCCATAGATATCTCATTTCCTCCCACATCCATTTTCTGAAGTGGAAGAAGAATCTTTTCTAAAATAATCCCTGTCTACATACACAGGCCTTTACCCTGCTATACTGTCTTTATATAACTCACCACAACATACACTTCTATTTCTCTGCTTATTGTCCATGTTCTACACAAAAGATTTAATTTTATGAGGCCAAAAACTGTATTGTTTACTACTGTATATCTGGTAAATAGAATACTACTGTCTAATAGAAATATAATGCATGCCACATATATAATTTTAAATGTTCTTGTAGCCACACTAATAAAATAAAAAGATAAAAATGAAATTTTAATCTGTAATCTCAATAGTCCTTCTCTAAGATGTTATCACTATAAAGAAATTCAGATATTTTACATTCTTTTTCTCATTCTTCTTCAAAATCTAGTGTGCAATTTACCCTTACAGTATATCTGAGTTCAGGCTAGTACAGTTCAGGTTCTCACGGCCACATGTAGTATTTACAACGGACAATGCCAACACAGAATACTTGGCACATAACAGACATCCAGTATATATTTGTTAAAGTTAATACTCTATACCATTTTAATTCTTCTATAGTGTAGGAATAATAGTAATGTCACGTCATTAATATCACCCAATTGACTTAGCCATTTCCTCGTTGGGCATTTAGGTCATTTCCAATTTTCACTTTTAAAAATAATTCCATAATAAACATCTATCTGGTCCCTGTTTAATAATTCCCAGAAAGTAATAAATATGCTCCCTTTTAGGGTTCTTGCCACATTTTGCCTAATTGTCTCAGAAATATGTCGCGTAAGACTTCTAATTGTTTATACTTGGTTATTTTTAATGATTTGTGATGCTAACAGGGCAGGTATTGCTGTGATGGTTATAATTACAAACATATTTAATAAGTACCAATGTTTCGTCTGCTGTAATGCATCATGCACTGTGCATTAGGCTATGCATACCTTATAGATGAGAAACATGAGGCTTCGGGAGGTTAAAAACCTAGCACTGGAATCGCATTCAAACTGAGATCTGGGTGAATCTATTTTCAAAGACTGGGCGTTTTCCCCGGGGACAAATTAAATAAATTGTAACTGTTTTAGTTAAGAAAGAAAATAAAAAGGAAGAAAGAGAAAGCTAAGTAAAGACAAGGGAAGGAAAACGAAGAAAGCTGAGGAAAGGACAGTTAAAGTCTGGAGATCCGGGCCGTGCAGAAGCGACTCTCATCTTCTCATCCCAACACACCCGCCGGGGAAGACAGCACCTTCCGACTCCCGGCGCGGGTGGCCGCCGCGGTCGCAGTGCCCTGCCCGGTGCAGCACCTTCCCCGCCGGCCCCACCATCCCACGCCCGCCGCCCCGGCGCTCCACTCTGTAGAGCCAATTAGCAGGCAGCTTCCGGCCTCCAACACGGCACCGCCCTCGGTGCGAACGTGACGTCCGCGACGCAGTGAAGACTTCCGGCGCGCCGCGTCACGTGTTCCGCACCGGAAGCGCACTTCCAGTCACCCCGGCAACAGCCGCCCCCCTCCGGTCCCCCACTCCCCCTCTGTCTCCAAGAAAAATTTGACCCCTGCTCGGCCACCGCCCAAGATCTGCAAGCTGCGAGCCCACGAGGTGACTTCGGGGATGGCTGGGTTTCCTTTGGGGAGTGAGGGAGGAGTCTAGAGGCCCCAGAGCCTGGCTTCTTCTGTTGTGCAGAGAGCCGAGGTCTTGGACGTCACGTTGCTATCATAATTATCTTAATCCCGTGACTATAGGTGGGGCCAGAGGCCCTTGAGATTCCTAAATCATTGCAGGTTAATTGTGAGATGGGACCAGTACCAGAGGCTCTCACCTCTGCCATGCTTCCGAATCACGGATGCCCGGGCCCTCATCCCAGACCAATTAAATCCGAGTATCTAATAGTAGGGTCCTAGCATTGGTAGTTTTTAAAGTTTCCCAGGTGATTCTGGTGTGCCGAGAACCACTGTGTTAAGATCTGTAGGTGAATTCGGATTTTGCCCATCCAGCCCATTATCTGAATAGAAGATCACCCAGGACTGCCACATACTTGGACGATGTCTAGGATATTGGCCTGTCTACTCAAAACTTGGGGGTTTCTTTCTTTTCTCCTGTACTTTAACATCTGCAGGAGGTTAGAGTTTTTGGTGGGAGTTATTTTGAGACATCTGGCCCCTATGGTTTATGGGCTTTGTGTCTCAGCCCACTTACCAGTAATGAGCTGTAGTTGAACCAGTGGCCAACTAAGTGCATTTTAGCTCTGAAATCTTGATGTTCCCTTAGTACACATCAGTTGGTTCTGAACAATTTTATTTTTTTCAGGAATAATGTTTTTAAACCCATTTCACAGGCTAGGCTATGTATTCAGCTGTTTTTCATCTCAGATCAGAACAACATTACTTGAAAAATCTAGACTAAAGATTAATAACACAACACTTCTGGGATTATTTATGCTCACAGGTCCCATGAATTGTGGGATGAGAGCTACCCTTTAAAAATACTATTTTTGCTAGCGTAATTTATCAGAATAACAGTCTCTTTGGGATTTCAGTGTGAACAGAAACCATATATTTTTAAAGACTGTTGGTTAGTAACTTTGAATAAGCATAACTGAAAGCAGGTTCACAGGTGTATAAATCCCCTCTGTGTGTTCATTGTTGTGCTGGGGAAGTATACAAACTAAAGTTCCAGAGAGGAATGTTCATTGTGAAACTGTTTTACAGATGGCGATGAATCATTTTGGGTTTTTTTAAAGAATAGGGTATGATGAGAATGATGGGGGAAAGTTTTGAACAATTAAGGCTATAGTGTAGGTTGGAGAGTTTGCAAACTAGGTACAGAACTTTTTTTGAACTTCTTCTCTACAAGATGAAATTTAGCCATGGAACAGGTGGACAAGTGAAAAAGAATGTCATTGATCAAAGATCAGATGAATTGAAAAGATCCTTAAAAATATAATATATTTAAATACTTGCTTCCTGAAAAGATTTGGTGCTTTATAGTCAGTTGTTTGAGTTACTAGGTCCTCATTTGGGGAGTAGATGTAGGAGGAGAGAACGTTATTAGGAAACAAGAGACAAGCTCAACAACAATTTCAGCAGCATCTAACAGCATGAAATATTAGCTATTATTTTTATGCTGGAAGGAAAATAGGAATCTTAAAAGGAGTAGATTGTAGAGAATCCATGGCTACAGGTCGTTGAGTAAGTGCCCAACTGAATTAGGCATAGTGAGTGTGTATAAATTCAGAAAAGAGAGACTAACATGGAATTACCATGAATATGTTTATTGAAAAAAGTAAACTTGAAATAAGACACCTGAAATGTACTAGAGATCTTAACTACTTTAAACAGCCATGGTTTTCTCTGATATGCTCTTAATTTGTAGTACCTGCCTATTCAACTTTTATTCCCTTATGGTTACACTAGGTTTTGCTTATGAAGGACATGCTTGCTGTGAAACAAACTTATCTGTTTCTTCTTTTGAACTGTCTTATCATTATGTCATTCTCAGTCATCCCATTGCCTTTTGTGTTCCTGAGTCAGAGGGTAACTTTGTTCCTGGCCTCATACTTCACTTTTGATTCTGATATTAGTCACATGGGGGTTCAGAGAACTTGCAAATAAATCCATTCACAAATTCATCACACTTGCTGACAAATTAAACAATGCTCTTCTGTGGGTGCAATGTCATTTGTATGAAAAAAAAAAAAAAAAAAGAATTGTTAACTACATCCTTTCAGTCTTACTCCTTCCTCATGCTATGCCCTCTTTGTGACAGTACTTATTACAACATCCAGAAGAGGCTAAATTGGGGTTGGGGATTGAAGGAATGAAAAGAAAATAAAACTCAGTTTTTTGGCTCCCTTGCCCATCAGTTTTAACTGTAGCTATTATAGACAGGGAGGTGCAAGCTTTCTGAACACAGTGGCATGTACACTTGAATAGGCCTGTGTCCTGTCCAAGATGGAGCTTGGATGCCTGCAGGTGGAAGAAGGCCATTTGAACTTGAGCCATCTTTGATGTCCAAATCACTAAGCAGGGACCATGCAAAGACACAGGAGGGAGCCCATGAGGGCATCAAGCCAGATGAGCTTGCCAGCCTCAGTAACCAGCCAGGGATAGGGGCAGGGCTGCCCAAGTAGGTGGGGCAAGAAACCCAGTCCTCAACAAAGCCCTATTATATTCTTTGTCTTAGTGAGGAAGTTCTTACTGTTGTATTATTGGAAGACATCTTCTGTGGTAGGGTTGTTATTGCATATACAGAGAGATTCCTTAGAACCACATATGACTCAATGTATCTCACTCAGATTTCTCACCATACCTTCGCTTATTTTGCTTCAGTGTCCAGCAGATCTCCTTGAAACAGTGTACTGAAGGCCTAACTAGATCCTCCATATTACTTGGTTGGCTCAGGGAACCAAATCACTGGAGCTTTGTAGGAAAGGTTTGACTTTCAGGGCTTTAGCCAGAGTAACTTATTTAATTGATTTTTAATGTGTTTCTGTGCAAAGATCAAAGCAAGCGAATTTTCATGTATTTTTAGAATTCTAATAGAAACAGAAGATAGGAAAATCTAGTTCAAGTATCCATTCTAGTTTTTAGGGGAATTGTGTTTTTATTTTACTTTTTTGGTTGCTACGATGTGTCCTATATTCTGTATTTATAAGAACATAAATAGGCAATTAGAAGAATATATTTGATGGTACTCCCTGTCAGCAAAGCCACTGATTTGTGGAATTTTTTGGAACTTGATGGAAATAGTCACATTTTATCCATTGAAAACTACAAAGTTCCTAATCTATTGTTCTTTATGCATATTTATGCATTAAAAATATATCTTTCAGGGTAAACAGATGTACTGAAGTGTAAATCCATTCTTTTAGAGACTCTGTATGGAAAAATATATCATTCAAGATTCAGTTTCTTTCTTGCCTGTAGGCCTTGTTAGTGTTTAGTGAATGACCTCAACCCTGTTTTTTTCCTTCCTCCTTTGGCAGTTGAGGACAGACAATGAATGGTCTCTGTACTCGCCTGGGCTCAGCTGGGTGGTGGCCATTATGCCATTGTGCTCACTGGAGAGGGCTGCCGAGTTTGTAGAGCTGCGGATCCCGGCCTTCCCTGACATTGCCAATCTCTTTTCTTTCAGCCCCACCAGCCCATTAGGAGAAAAGTTACTGTTCAGTCCGTGAAGGCTTGTGCCATGAAAGAGTAGGAGACATTCCCAGGGAGGTGAGGAATGGAAGATCAAATTAAAGACCATTAAAGACCAAAGGGTATCTACATCTGCAGCAACCATCAGCTCTCTTTTCTTGGAGAGGTAGTAGTCTCTGAAGGTCTTGCTATAATGTCTATAATTATTTAAATTTTGGCTTTTCAGAAACCTAGGCATTCTTATTAGCTCCTTAAGTTCTCCATGTATGGAGAAAATAACCAGCTTAAAGTTAATGGGACCCATCTTTAGAAGAGGACCTCTTCTTCCCTTGGGAGCTAACTGATATTAACTAATTGATTGCTTAGCAGGAAAGAATATATATTCCTTCCAGGGAATAGAGATTCAGAACTCTGTCCTGTTTGCTTTCTAAGCCCTGCTGCTTGATACTGTTTTGCAGAATTTTTATTATTGTTTTTAGTTAAATCTTTAAATGTTTATATGGATCTTTAAGAAATGGTCCAATTTCCTTATTTAGTCATGGAAAGTATTTTTTTGTCCCATATATTAGGAACCAGTCAACAAGATTGCTATTGGTCATAGTCAGTTTTCTTGTCTTCACTAGTCTTCCTCCAAGCCTAATCATTTATGAAACATGTGAGAATCATTCATAGTCAGTTTTCTTGCCTCCGCTAGTCTTTCTACAAGCCTAATCATTATGAAACTTGTGTGAAGTTCCTCTGATTCCCAAGTGGAAAGTAAGGAAGAATTAGGATGTTCTGCATATTCAGAGAGAGCATATACGACTTCAAACTGTGTTAACATAAAACGGGGGTGAGTAAAAAAAAAAGCCCACAGCCTGTTTTTTGTACTTCCAGGGAGCTAAGAATTGTTTTTACATTTTTAAAGGGTTGTTTGGTGTTTTTTTTTTTTAATCAAAGAATATGAAGACTATGTGACAAAGACTGTATGTGGCCCATAAGCCTAAAATATTTATCTCATCCTTTACTGAAAAAAATTGCTGGCATGACATAATAATACTAGAAAGACCTAGGTAAAAGCAATTATAAAGCTCTATGCAAGTTGCTACTGCTTTAGGCATGTTTTTCTATGCCTTATTTGACTTTTGAGAGACTAATGTGTAATTCTTCAAGTCAAATATTCAAATTGGTTAATTTGAATATAGGATTTTAGGACTCTTAAAAATGCTTAAAATGAAAAAGGATATTACAAGTAGGTTTTGGAATTTAGGGAGAGAAAATAATAAAGCCAAGGGTGAGATGAGCGCAGCCTACATACAGCCCCAGGACTTTAAACTTGCTCGAAGATGGCAGCAAGTTTGATTATAAATATCCCAGTGGTGAAACTGTGAGGAAAGCATGATCAAAACAAAGCAAAATTGCCTACAGAGTTGCTTGCACTCCATCAGTAACATAAATTCATCCTTTCATAATGGCCTGGGTCTTGAGAGTCTAGCATCTTAGCTGATGATTTAATATATTTAATTAATGTAGATAGTGGGCACTCTGGGCTTATTCTGAACTGCCTCTGGTTTGGAAGCTGAAACTGGTTTTCTTCAGTCATCTCAGCTCATTCTCCTAGCTTCTTTCTTGCCTAGACGCTCAGGACGTACCTGGGTTATCTCTGAGGCCTTCTAACATGGCAGCCCTTCTACCAGATGATTTGTTGGGTCAAAGTCACCTCGCCTCAAATTAGTGTTCCCTCCCTCTTCTTCTTCTTTTTTTTGAGCCTGAGTCTCGCTCTGTCACTCAGGCTGGGGTGTAGTGGCACGATCTCAGCTCACTGCAACCTCTACTTCCCAGGTTTAAGCAATTCTTGTGCCTTAGCCTCCTGAGTAGCTGGGATTACAGATGTGCACCATCATACCCAGCTAATTTTTGTATTTTTACTAGAGATGGGGTTTCACCATGTTGGCCAGGCTGGTCTTGAACTCCCAACCTTGGGTGATCCACCCACCTCGGCCTCCCAAAGTGCTGGGATTATACTTGTGAGCCACTGCGCCTGGCCCCTCCCTCTTAATCACAGCCATTGACGTTTGAGCAGCCTGGAGAACATCATCAATTACCCTTGAACTCCTTAAATGGTACTCTATTTTATCCCACAGGCCTAAATGTCCAGCTTTGCAAAACAGAGCCTCTCTTAGCTATCTGGTGGATTTTCAGAATATTGGTGCTACGACCTTTATTGCCACACTTAATTTTCCCAATTATAACCAAAAACAAGATTTTGTGTACAGTAGTGTTCAATATCAATGGTGTTTATTCCATATTTGAGGCTATCAGACTTACCAATTTGGAATAATTGATATTTACATTGACCTGGTTCTAAATGCCTTATAGTGCATAGAAAGAAGTCAGGATTCAAAACACTTAATTTCCAGAACACGTGCACATGTCTCATACACTTTTCTAATTTAATTTCTTTGCTGCTTGTTAATCTGTAAAACAAATTTGATTAAGATATACACGCAGTTCACTTTAATGACATTATGTTCTGCAGGCTCTCAGAAAACTATTCAGATTTTAGTCATAGAAATATAAAACCTGGTTCTGGTGAATTAGCCACTTAAAGGCTGTACCTTACAGTTTTGCTCTCAAGTACATACTGATTTCTACATAATTTCATTTATGTTTTACTTCTCTGAGTGGTAAGCCACCTAAGTATTAACTTTTATATTTCTTCAGTGGCCTGTGAAGCACATAGCAGTGAGCTAGGTTTTCAGTTACTTGCTCATGTTTTAAACCTTTAAAACATTAAAATTGTAGATTAAAAGTAACATGAACTGAATTTACACTGTATTTGTTAACTTTTTCAATTTATATTTGTTGCATATATGCATAGTATTGAAGACAAGGAGCAAGAACTATGGGCTATGTTTAAGATAAATTTACAGAAGGTCATATCAGCCCTCTTAGAAGTACCCTATTTGAAAGTTTATTATCTTTTAAAAGAATGTGAATGATTCTCTTTTAGCCAAATCTTAAAATATAGAAAAGGTTGATTTAGCATCTCAGTTCTTAATATAACCATAGCAAAACATCTGATAGAGATTATAAAACAAGTAAAGTTTGTTTCTTAGGGGTTGGAGAATTTTTTAATTCTACCCTATAGTTAAGTGGGAAGGAAAAATAGGACTCCTTCAGTATCTGATTTCCAAAGTTTCAAAGCCTAAGTACTAGTTTGCTCAGCATTGCATTGTGTTAGTGGTTTTGTCTCACAGAAGCTTAAATTCTCATGCGTTTTTGGATATTTTTGTTTAACTTTTTAAAAGTGCATTCCAGTGTAGCTCTGAACCCCTGAATAGAAAAAAAAAAAAGTAAAAGTCTATTTTAAATACATTGAAAAAGGTACAGCTGCAGATTAGACTTCACTTTTGGGTATTTCATGCATTGAATCAGCAAATCACAACAGGTGGGTAGTGAGAAAAGAACTAAATTTCAGCAGAGCAATAACATTTGCCAAAGGCAATCTATATGGTGCCTCTGTAGAGATTCCATGGAGTCTGTGAATACACAGGTAGTTAGGCAAGTAGAATGTGATGTCACATGCTGGCTGAGAAATGCATATTGCAATCAAAATGAAAACAAGGCCCTTTTGGGGGGACTGAAAGCCCAGGGCACAACTGAGTATGGAGAGATGTCTTATTCTCCACATCCCAGACCTAAGGCAGGACCCAACAGAGGTTTCTGGTTATTTGGAAAGATGTGTTCCACTCAAGCTTCAGGAAGACCCAGGGTTAATTTAAGTGAGCATTAGCATGAGTTAAAGATTAGTAAATAAAGTAATAACTGTAAATTTTTAGTTCATGTGTTGTATATTATATGTGTATATATGTATATATACACACACACGCACACACACACACACACACACACACATACACATATACATATATACACACTAACAACTAAATATTTATATGGTCATTTTCATAGACTTTACTTCCTGTAGGGAAATAAGTAATTGAACCTTGCAGGATCTTTTGACCCACTTAATCATACTTAAGGAGATCCCTCCTTTTCAGACCACAAAGTCATAGCCCAGGAACCAAGGTCTTATAGATAGGTTGTAGGAAATCAGGCATGGGACTGGGAAGAGCCAGCTCCTCAGGAGCTGTCTTACAAACCACAAAATAACCACAAATATCACACAGCTGTACTGATTAGAGATTTGCACTGTGATTCTTCTTTCCTAGTTTCGGCACCCATTTGGATTTTCACAATCAGAGATGGCAGCGATGAAGGTAAGACTTTTCTTTTTTAGCTCATAAGTAAAAGAGATAAACTTTAGTCTTTAAAGTTTTGGTATTCTCATTCCACGATGGAGAAGACGTAAGAAATACAAAAGTAAAAGCACTATTGGATGCATTCCTAGATGTCTCTTGTCTCAGGTATTTAGGGGTGGCCCAGGCCAGCAAGTTAGTTTGAGGGGCAGAAAGGGAAGAACTAAAGTCTATCATGCTTGTCAATCTACTGTGTCTTAGCAGGCCATTGCCCACTCAGCACTGGTCATTTAATTACAGTGGGTAGAGAGGGCCAAGATGATAAACATCCAGTCTTCTCTCTCCCTGCGTCTCATCTAGAAACAATCACTAGTCTCCATCCCCACATTATAATGCTCCATATCGTTAAACTAATTGGCTTTTGCATTCCTCATGTACATGGAATTAGCAAGTGTGCAAACACTTGGTGTCCATTGTGGGCCTGGACCTGTCTCACACAATTTTGGGCTTAGTAGCCTCCTCATGTAGAGTAGGTATTCAGCAAATACTAAGTAAATACCTGTTGGGTAGCATAGGATAAACACTTTGGTGTCCACCCTCCACCTCCTTTCATTTTGTAGGCATCAACGTTGAAAGCTACCAGGCCTTGGTATTCTCATCC